AAAAAAGTACACACAAACTCTGCTTTTGAATTTCATCGATCGTAATAGAAGTAATCCAACTGTTTCATGCTGTTAATACTTGTAGGACTCGTAATACTTTTCTTCAACTGTTGATACCAAATACAGGTAATTAAAGTACCACTATAATGGTGCGTGCTAAATTCTTCGTTTCTCTGTTTATTTATTATCAGTTCTCAGCTAATGTCCGTTTCTGATCAGTATTTTTTGAAACATTTTGAACTATTTTGTTTGAAATAAATATTATTTATAGCACTTCATAAGGTATAAATCAGTACGAGATTAGTTTTTTTTTGCTATGAGGCATAGCAGTTATACAACTCCTATACTTCGTTTTTGATTGTTATTTCTTATCTGACCGAGCAGATTAAAAAAATATTTTTACAGATTTCATGCCCATTCATACATAAACATATATATATATACTTATTTATTTATTTGTTTATTTATTTACACCCACATCTATATTTTTATTTATTTGTTTATTTATTTGCTTATCTATTTATTTGTTCATTTATCTATTTATTTATTTATCTATTTATTCATTTATCCATTTATTTGTTTATTTATCTACTTATTTATTTATTTATTCATTTACTTATTTATTTACCTATTTATTTATTCATTCATTCACCTATTTATTTATTTGTTTATTTATCAATTTATTTATCTATTTATTTATTCATTCATTCACCTATTTATTTATTTGTTTATTTATCAATTTATTTATCTATTTATTTATTCATTCATTCACCTATTTATTTATTTGTTTATTTATCAATTTATTTATTTATTTAGTTAAAAATTCCACTTCGGTTGTGATATTTTTCATTTCAACATAAAATCAATGATTAGCTTTTGATAAGGTATTTTACACTTTTTAGAAGAAATTTCTGGCTTTTATTTGAGTTTAAAACTCTAAAATATTTGTAAACTATTTCAAATTTTCTAGTTCTTTGCCAAAAAAAACTGCAACTTGTATCAGAATATGTAAAATGGCTTTCATGACGGTTATGCGAATCACTAAATCCTACATTCTGTTTGTTCGTTTCTAATTCAGAACCATCCAGTTTTACCATCCGTTTTATGAAACAGTTGGTTGATAAGGAAATATGTCCCTCTAATCACAGAATTTTTTTACCTACATATCCCATATCTATTACATCGATGAACACCGTGTTAATTTCAAAAATGCTGTAATTAAACAATTATTAGGTGAAAAAAAAAACGAATGTGATGGATATGGTAAATTTATGTTCTAGAAAGACAACTGATTTTACTTCGTCTTCATTTAATGCTTTTCAGCTTATGTCTGGTTACTTTTTTTCGCACTTAAAAAGTTTTCATCAAAAGATTATTCCTCACCAGTTCTAAGTGCTAGTGACTTAACAGTAGAAAATAGTAGATGAAAAAGGGAAGTAATAGATATTCGGGAAACAATTCTATTAAGAATGTCCCTAATGAGCCCATTTTTGTCGACAATTAACGACCTGACTCTCTTTCTGCATATTCCTGAAATGATGAATACAAAAATTCTCTACTTTCAAGAGATTTATTTTCTCTTTTTTTCAGTCAAATATTGCTGATTTGGTAAGTGCCTGCTAAGCATGTTTAAATAGAAAAAAGGATATTTAATCATAGTGGTATTTTCGTAATATTAGCAGATTCCTAAAAATAAATTGAAAACGTTTCAAAATCCGAAATTACAGAAATATTTTTGCAATAGATAAAACAGTTAATGGATGAAGTGGAAGAAATACATATTCAAAATTTCATACTTTTTCCGAAACGGAAAAATATCGTCAATTTGGCCAACCAGATAAATAATACTTAATATTATATACATTCCAAAGTATTAAGTATGGATTCGCGGCAAATTTCTGGTGGTTTTAATGAAAGAAATAAAAATGTCCTGAAAAAATTTCTATACTTTTATTATTTCATATCAACTTGAGAATTTGATATATATTTTAGTGCTAAACGGCCTCAATTCAGCATTTTTTTCAAGCTTTTTTTTCATTTTTTTTCGTTATTTTACTAATTACCTCATAACTTTTTAACCTCTACTTTCATAGTTACTTTCCAAATATAAATAGACTTGACATTAATAACAAAGCAAATGCAGATCCAACACTCCGGGTTTTTAAAAACCCGGACGTTTCAGGAAAATTTAGTTTTTCAAAATGAAATTAGCGAAATGGAAGACAAGGATTCTGTATAAAGATTTTTTTTTTTGGCGTAATCTTTAGAATTTATTCTACCAATGAGAAAATGCTAATTACACTAATATTTTCAAAGGTTTATATCGTCTTGAAAGCCTCACTTTACATACTTCTAAAAGTAGTGATTCGAGCAATGTTGTAATCTTCTGAGAAAAACATACAAAGAGAGACAACAGCATGCAATTCTCGCTATATCATTCAAAAAGATAATGCAAGATGGATGTCGTATGCGAGTTGCACGTTTTTACTTTATTTGTATATGCGTTAATCCTACACGCTTAATTTTTGTTCCACTTATTTTTATTCATTCTTACCCAATTATTTCAGTGAATCATTTTCTTCGTTGATCACAGCTAATAATAATTCCTGTTTGAAATTATAGTAATTTATTGTTTAGAATATGAGATCTTTACAAACTTGTTTATGGATGTCAGTTTAGTTTGTACCTTGAAATCTGAAATCATATTTTCACCGTCATTTTGGTTACTGAGTGGTAGCTAAGTTATCGAAAAATATTTCAAATATCTTACTGTTGGTTTTCGATCACTTTGAATCTTTGATAATTGTGTCGTCAACATCACTGTAAGTGGCAATTAGACTTACCGCCCTCTTTCATTTGCAAAATGTTGTAAATGTTTTGGTATAATGATGAGGTACGGATTAAAAAAAGCAAACAAATGCTTTTTGGATAGGGATTAGTGAAGTTTTGTGAAAAAAAAGGAAATTTCCGGTATTTTGAAAAAAGTTCTGAGAATTAAAAACGAGTCGCTATTGGGGAAGATAAAAACTTGTGAAATGTTGAAAATGCTTCTTGGAATATATTATGAATAGCAAAAGAAAACAGCGGCCGACAATATCTACAAATGATGGGAATTAATGAGATCGGCAATCAAATTGCTATGATTTAATACTGCAGTAAGCTGAAAATAAAAGTAGGACTTGATCTCTCCTAAGGGCGGAATGGAGTTACATAGCAAGAGAATTCATTGTTCTAGCCAGAAAAAATACAAATCGTCAAAGCAGTAAAGAAAATTTGAAACGATGTATTCGTTGAGAACAAGCCATGTTTCTTGCTCCTTAAAGTATAGTCTTTTCATCATTTCATACAAAAAAGTTGGAATTTCATGTCAAGCTCTAAATTACTAGGAGATGATGTTCAGGTATTAGGAAATACGATGAAAGTAAGAGAAAACCAAAAGTTATGTCAGAAAAAAAGAGCAAAAAAATTTATGCGAATTCTAGACAAAAAAAAGATGAATCAAACATTTTCGATATCAAAGTGAAATTTTTGATATTTTCAAGCTTTTTCAAATCAAACTAGAATTGATTTGATGGTAATGTTAAAGCTAATTCATGTAAAGAATTTTAAAGTAACTTGAACAACATCCAGACACAACCAAATAGCTTAAGCAACGTTTTTTCATCCTACTTCAACCTTTCATCTCACTTTAAGCTCCATTATTTCTTTCAGTTTCTTGCAAACTTCTCATTTTTCCATTCAATCCACATCGCTCATAAAGTGCTCAAAATCACGCTTTTGTCCATTGGTTTTAATATCCCAGCAGCATTTCTTTCAACTATTTGGGTAAGCAAAACTGAATAGTGAATGTCGTTCTCTACGAATTTTAATGATCAAACTATTGAATGAATCGATTACGCCGAAGCAGAGAATTTCAAAAAAGGAACAAAAGGGGCCAGTACGATATATGTATGATTTATCCCCTCTCTCCTTCAGATTACCTTCTCAATTTAACGGAAAATGATTCATGGTAAGTTCATAACTGGCACTATCTGCTCAAGCAAATCATTCTACAATGGAATGATTTTACTTAAATTTATCACACGTTTAAAATTATTATTTTTTCCAAGTTTTTATTTTGGAATAATTTAATCCCCGCACTTGCAGAAATTCTGTAAAAATCTGTTCTAGGTATTTTATCTGCCAAGTTTCCTGTCAGTTTCCATCATATCCTCAAAGTACTAAAAATTTGTAGCCTGAAAATGAAAGAAATCTGAAGTTCCCAGTTACCAAACTTTTTTTTTTTGATTGTTCATTACAACCAAGTGAAATTGAAATCTTAGTGAAAATACTTATTTTTTGCATTGATTTCAGAGTGAGGTAGAAGACGAACAAATCATTGAGCAAAATAGCTTAGTTAAGACGTAAATTTTAAGAAAAATTAGGATTTTCTTCACAAATCATTCTCCTTCATTTATTTTACTTTTAAGAATGCGTGAGTACGAAATATTATTTTTCGTACATCTGTTTCAGCGAGGGGATCTGATCATCATTACCGGATTTTCACCCGAAATCAGATTCTCTGATTTCGTGTAATGAGAAAAGGTCGATGATGAGAGAATAAAGCCAGTCAAATAGGGAAGAGAAGGGGAGGAAGAAAGGAAGGAGGACTAATTAGGGGGAAGATCAATTTTTTTTCAAAATTTCTCGATTTGATTGTCATGACACTAATAAAGAAAGAGATTCGCTCACTGGATTGACTCCAGTTTCAGAAATCAGAAAAAACAACTGTAGAAATTAGTTAAAAAATATGATCGAACACACGTCTTTTCCTCTTTTCATTTAAATATCTCAAACATTAGAATAATCTTTGTTGTTCCTGTCTCTTCTTTTATGCAAAGAGAAGTAATGATGCCTAATAAATGCTTGGAAACCCTTTTGAAATTGAAATCACACTGTGGAATACGCCCAATGCAGCAAGTCAGGTATTTTGCTACGAATTCCTTTTTCTTTCTCTCCATCTCCATGAGGTTGAAATCAAATCTGATTTGTGTTGTGTGCTTTGAATGAATATGATTACTTCCAAGTGGAAATGAATACGGAAACCAAAAAAAAAATGTTATGAACATCATGAAGGAGCTGATGGTTGCACTATCGAACAACCCATTTGTGTGCATTAGATGTCAGTTACACTCTTTCATCAGTTTTTCACGCTTTTTTCGATTCTTCAAAGAATCCGTCTCTTTTCTTTGAATTTCCAAGTGCAAAGGAAATGTTAGTATTGAAGTCTATTTGGAACTGTATGAAAGTTTTAAATATTGTGGGAAGTTTTTTTCAGTGGAACTACACCTGTTGAATCCTTCCCAATAAAATGAGACTGAAACGGCTAATCTAGTCAGTTCATTTTTCCAATATCGACCGAAAACCTACATATTTCTGATTATTATAAGCAGTTGCATAAATCTGACCTTTAACAATAATTTTAAATCATTTCTCCGCAAACGTTTTCAGAGACCCTTTTCTGCGCCTTCTATAATACAACACATTCAGTTGTTAACATTTGCTAATATTGTTGAAAGGATTGGTAATTTTTCTTCGCTTGCTTTTGTTTGCCATAATGTTGCAACCTTGGCGAAATATTATTTGTATTTGTGCCGAATAATTTATTTTTGCGTCTCTATGATGTTTGCATAGAATAATTTAAGGTAAATATATAGGTGGGGTGATAATTCATTTACTGCAAACACTCCGCAATATTTTTGATATTTAAATAACATTGTTGTATTAGAAACTCGGATACAGTGGATCAGAGCATTATTTCTCCCTTTTCTGTCATGTCACCACCAGTTATCACAGTTTTTGAGGGATGAGTGAAAGGGTTGAAGTGTTTCTATCGGTCCCATAAGCCAATAACCTTTTTTGTTGATTCCCAAGCTGCCTATAATTTTGCTCATACTTCTGTGCGTCCTCCTCTTCCTTCTTCTTTCGTACAATCCTTTCGTCGTCTTCCCGCATCCTTTCGCTCTGTTTAATGCTTACGAACATTTTCTGAGCCTCCTAATTTATTAGAGAAAGTGTGGTAAGTCTCAAACTAACTGTTCTATTTGATAAGCTTGAAAGAAAAAAGTATGGACGGAAAGTTTCGTGACTAATTAACAAGAGAGATCGACATTCGACCATAAGCAGCGAGCTGAAGAGACACAGCTCTGAATGTATCGAAAAGTTCGGCTAATGTCTGAGATCTTGTTATTCACATCTTCCTATTGGCCAGAAGATTTTCCAGGCACTCAATCGCTACAACTGTTTGGAACATTTGCATTCTTTTTGAGTACTCTTCGATACGATGACGTACCGCTTATTGTTTCTAATCACAAGATTTCTTCACTGAACAATGACTATCTCAGAAACACTCATCCCAAATTTTGGACGAAACGACTTCCCGAATGGCTGATTAATTCCCTCTCAAAAGTACCTCATTGTTAAATCCTTCCTTACAATAATTCAGTTTGCGCTTTCCTTGCAGATATTTTTCTTTTTTGAGATTTAAAACAGAAGAGTCAAAAAGTGTGGCATAAGTCGATTTCAAATTTCAGATCAAGAACATAATTGATGGAGTTCACATATTTTAGAGTAAGTATGATTATCCTATTCATTTTCTTGTTGGTTAAAATGTTTAATTATTCCATTGTTAGAATGACAAATGCTAAATATTTCCACATTTAAGTATCGTTCAAAATACACTCCCACTTAATGTTTCATATAAGACCCATATCTAACTTGCCATATGAAGCGATGAGCCTTTCCTGGTCAGTTTAGAAAGGAAAAAAAAGAAAGGGAGATTAGGGAGGAAAAACTATACCTCCATGAATATGTGAATAATGGAACTCAGTGATGTCTTTTTTTGAGGTTCACAGTGAAATTTTGCAGATGCATTTTCAACTAAATAGATAATCATTTGTTAGACATATTTATACTTAAAGATCAGATATAGAAAATATAAGAAAAGCACTTCTTCAATAGCCTATAGCATCGCACTGTCATTAAGCTTGCTAATCTATTTTTCCAATAAAAAAAAATATTGTGACAATTTTTCTCCATGAAATAACTTCGCTAAGCAATCTGCAGACCTTTTAACATCTTCAGAGTTAAAATTTCGAAATCTAACAAATATGTTTGTGAAATGAATTTGTCTTTGGAAGTAGTTCCCCAGGGATTCTATTCATCAGGATCAGAGCGAACTTCCTTCTCCAATCCACTCGTACGTAACAAAAACAAAGAGTGGTGAATAAAAAGTAGTTTGTACTTGGTACCATAGACTGCCATAATTAAATGCCATCCCATCACTGGACTGTGTTTCACTCCGACAAGTAACTTACAAACAACTATATGTAAAAAAATCCATTTTAATGTAGTGAGGCTTATTAGAACTTCAGCATCTGAAAACAATGGTTTTTCCATGGGTTCCTTCGGAATAATTAACATTGCAGGATTTCAAATATTTTGACATAAAGTATGAATAACGAATATTTCCAGCTCGTTTGTAGTAAAATTCAGCATTTATTGGGTTTTTATTCCGAGAAGATGAGAAATCTGATTAAAAGCAAGCACATGAAGTGTCTGTCCTCGCATCAAAATTTAATTGTTTCTGTATTATTTTTCTATCATACACATATTTGTATGATCCATTTTCATTGAACAGATGCAACATTAGGATGAGAGCACACTAAATCTTAGAATGCGTGTTACTTTTCTGATATCACTTCTAGCACCCGTGAAAATTTCTTCTAATGAATAAGCTATCTGTTAAAGAATTATTGTCTTATATTTAAATGAATTTTCCTGTCGTTTGATGAATCAAGTCCTTCGACTCCATAATTCACTAAATTTCATATTGTCTTCAACAGAAACTGAATGGAACACGTCATTGATTTTATTACGTAAGATACACAATGCATCAACTGCTTTTTGCATTATTTAATTGCTTATTTTTGACTTTAGCATCCCTATCTGTCATTTTTATTCAGTTTATACAGATGCTTTGATATCTCCAAGCAGTCACTGTTAGTTTTATATTATTTTCTTTTGGAATTCTTTGGTAGTTATCTTTCGAAAATATCACAGTTAGGGTTTTCTGAAAACTATCATCTGAAATAAACATATAAAATTCATAAATATGAGCAGTCAGTACATCTCACATCTTAATATGTATGTTGTAGAGAATAGAGTATCATTTCCGCCTCTTAACTTATTGGTCATAAAGATGTGGACATCACAATAACCTATAACTTTTTGCCTACACTTTTGTAATTCAGTTCTCAGTTGATGTAAAAATTAACAGTAATAGTACATAACAAACTATTATTTTACAGAACACATTGTTTCTTAAAAATGATGAAGTGCATGGCTCTCACCTCTCAAGGTATCAACCGAGAGGATTTCGTGATATTCCCGGTTGGGAACATAAAACAAGGATGCATGTAAATTTAGTTTTCATTTTACAGCTTCTCTTATTTTTAGTAAATTGTGAAAGAAATTATGAATTATGAAATTCTCAGTCAAAATCAAATAAGTTGCAACTAGTTATCTTAATTTACAGTTTTCTAATTTTAGTTCACTTTTCGATCATTTTTTCCATTGTCTCTTTTTAGACTATTCCATGATTTCAACCACTTGTGTCTCTTCCCTTAAGATTTGGTTTCTATATATTGATGTGTTGTACTTATTAAAAATGAAAGAAAAAACAAGGTGTGGTTGTCTATCTTACTGCTCACTTATTTTCCGGAAAGTGTCACTTACAGGGTTCGTTCTATGCCTTTTTATTCAGAATGAAATCAATTTAGAAGTAGCAGTGTTGAAGCTATATTACAGTTGACAATTAAAAGATATCTTTCTTTTCCTTCGAGTCGTTAAAAATAATTCCTTACCGATTCCGATCAAATTATAACCACAATCATTTTTGCATATTTCCGTCCGATATTTGACGCGTGATGCTTTCCAGTATTCTTTGTTTTTTCCCTGTTTTTTAATCAAATAATTAAAATTTCGAAATCTTGGACAAATTGGATAGAATCGTCTATATGGAAGAGTTTGGTTTAATACCACCTTTTTGGTCAAAAATTTCAACTTCGTTTCCGTTCGAATGATATACAGGGAGCGTTATCAGAAATTTAAAGGAAATTTTTTGTTAAGTATGTGCCTACTTATTGAATTCATAACTTCTTTTGTGGTAAGCTACTTTGGAATTAAGCAATTCTTTTAAAACTTTTCCATGAAAAACCTCTCTGGAGTTTTTAATAAATTTCCGGATATTCTAAAAACAACTGAATTACTGTGTTTCGAAAATACTAAAAACGTGAAATAAGCGAAAACTCGTGCAATTTCTTTTTTCGTTTTTATAGGAAAGTTATAAAACACCTATTTGCCTACAAATTTTGCGGCCTAGTCAAGAAATGCCACTGCTGACTAAGTTTTTTATTACATCCAATTTTTTGAAGGAAAGATCTCAATAAAATAGATAATAAATGTTGGAAATAGCTTGTTCTTTATATAGGAATTAATTCCTACTTTTTTTTCACAATTCCTGTCCTGGAAAGTTATATCATCTGTTTAGGTTACATTAGGCTTTAGCCTTCGATATGTTGTTAAAATATGTCAAGCATTATTGGTGAACTTATTATGCCCATTTTGCTAGTGATTTGTATTTATAGGGTGTTTATTAGTAAATCCGATAAAAATGAACTAATCTGAATGACATTCTTTGCAGCCGCAAGGAATCAACATTCCGATGAAGATTGGTCCAAGAAGAATTTAGCTAATAGAACTCTTTTTCATTTTTATTTCTGTTTTTTTCGTTTTTACTTTTTATTTTTAACCGTAGATAAATGTCAAATGTAACTTTTTAGTTAAGCATTATTAGTCGGCAGAGTTATCCGTGAACTTCGTTCCTGTACTAACGATGTACTTCTTTATGAATAGCTTCAAGCTGTCCCTACGATATGATGGGGTATACGTATGGATACTGAAGCAACAACACCTTATTGGTATCATATACAACTGGTCAGGTTATATATTATCAAACATATTATTGGTAGATACTTTGCAATTACACTTCGCAATTACGATGAAAGCCTACGATTTTCATTTGTATACTCTTTCTAATAAAACACATCTCTTGTTGGAGGACATTCTTGGTAATCATAATAATTTATCTCAATAATTTGAAAATCAGTCAAGTGTGAAAAAGCTCAAAGAATTTTGAAATCACTTCACTGATTAGAAAAATTTGTTTTTAGTGATAAGGAAAGTTACTTGAATATTACCAGTGATAAAGAGAATTGAGAGAACTTCAAAATTCTTTGATATTTTATAAAAAGGCATCTTCCTACAACATCTGAAACCTGATACTGCCAACAATGTCCCCATGTTTTGTATTTGGAACTGCAGCTTTAATGTCCATATATTACATTTAATGGGTTATTAGGATTTCTTCAAAAGAAGAAACCTTCTTTATGAATTGCCAATTGAAACTTTTTCAGAGAAATGGGCCAGCTTACTAGTCAGAGTGACCTTTTTTTCGAAACGAACTATAAAAACTGTTAGTTTTGTGGTTCATACTTCATCATCAGTGTTGATCACCTTTAAATGAAAAATAGCATCAATTAAAATGAGAAGACTCTTTTCACATTTCGATACGCTTCGAATGTACTTCGTACAGCAGTGTTTATTTTTTGTTCCTATAGAAACGGATAAGAACAATAAGCGAGACACACGCATAAGCCAAGTCCCAGTCCATTCCTTGAATTTAACAGCAAGATGTAAAATCCTTTGAATTCGTACAACTGACAAATGTGCAATTTGTAATCTGTGCATCAAAATTGTGTGTACTTGTTTTCTCTACAGTACTAAATGTAGATTTTTTATAACCGTTTGATAAAAATGAAAAACTGTATGCTAAGCTAAAAAATAAACATTGAGCTAAACTAACGTCTTCCGCATTTTTTGCTTTGCTTTGGTGCTGTGTTCAATGTTTTTAGAATTTTTGGAGAAATGAAATCAGTCATTTCTAAAATATAGGTACGAAGTAGATATACCTAATTAGAATGCTCTGATAATGGAATAGGGCTATCTATTGGTCTGTGTCCTGTGCCAAAGTCTCTTCATATTTCGCAAATCAATTGTATCTTTTAAAATATTTCAAGGAAAATCTTATTTCCTGCTAGCATTCAAATTTAATTTCATTCAGCAAGCAATCAAAAGTTTTTTAAACAGTTACATTTGTGGTAAAAACCATTATATTCATACATGCATTCATGAAATAAAAAATCTCCGAGTCAGAAAAAGCTTTAAAATGAATTTGGTATCAGTGAAGGAGGAGTTTAGCAATAATTACTGAACTATGATCAAGAACTGCTTCTCGTCTCCTACTTGTTAATCACTGCATTTTAGTTTACTAATTATGGCGATACAAGTTGCTGACACAATCCAGTTCTTCATAAGATTCCTTACTTCATATTGTACTTAGTTTTCCAAACATTTTATCCACTTTTCACATCCTTCAGTCTTACCGATCACTTAATTTCAACTTTCTTGCTTTTTTTCCTTTTATTGGCTATAATGTAGAAGGGGGGGAATTTTGTATTTTAGTTTTATTTGATTATGTCAATGTTTTACATTAATAAAACAAAGATGTGTAATGATTAATAGAACAACAGAACGAGGAAGGAGCTCATTCTTGGTCCCAACTGTAAGATCACGAATGAGATTCCTGCAGTTCTAAATTCCTTACTTAATAATTAAGTAACCTATCACTGCTTAATCACCGTACAACTGTTTAAAATGATAGCTTTTTTCCTACTCCAGGAATGCACTGAAGGTTCCCGTTTCAATCGATTATATCATTAAGCTAAATGAATCACTGTGAAATAGCAGTTAATAGAAATGTCAAATTAAAAAAAAGAATGATAGACTGAAAATGTGTTTAGCTGATAAAGTAAACTTGATTAACGTACAAAGACATCTACTAAACATGGAAATGGAATGGATTTTCTTCTATCAAATCTTTTCACTGTTGCTTCCTCTCGACCAATTACTATGTAAATAAATTTTCTTTAAAACTCAAATCCTGCATTTGAGCTTGAGAATACATTTCCGATAATTTGAACTGTTCTCCATTATTTCATGATATTCAATGCAATCAATTAAAACGATAGAAAGTATTTTATTCAGCCTAAGGTTTTTTTTTGAACTGAAATAAATTCGAGCTTAAATATAATTGTTCTTATCTGCCTCTTTTGATTTATTGCTTACTATTGTTAAATTTTTTCTTCTCTATGAAGATGCATAATTTGAATATCACTTGCAAAAATTTTTCTCTCTCTTACATTTCATCGCCCGAAGCAATGGAGAATTCGAACCTTCCCGGCGACGATCAGCTCAATTTCTGTGTTATCATTGCCCACATTTTTGGTATTAACTTGGTACACACTATTTTCAGTGACTGCTCCAACTTTAAAATTCTCTCCTCTCAACAAAATCAAAATGAATTGGAGCCACAATCATGGCAGAATAAAACTACCATCTCTCCTCTCAGTTCATGATATTTTTACCTTTATTTAATCATACAGCTGTAAATATTTGTCTTTAAATTTGATTGGGAAATGCTATTTTCAAAATTTATTATATGCATGTTGTATCAGTGGTAAATAACGTGACGAATTTCAATATTATCGGATGGGAAGCATGATAAATAAGAAATGATCGGAGCAAGTTTGTCTCTCGACAACAATTAGGCGAAGATATAACTGAGTAATGACGTTATATGAATGATAAATAAGCTGCACGCAGTAACACGAATGTTCTTCACTTAATTCTTTTTAAGGTGAAATAAACAAATGGATTTGGATGTGGCATCGTTCGGAGAAGGTTCTGGCGTTCTCACCGCAGCTTTGCCCACAGTACGAACCAAACGAGTGCGTCATAAATGGACATCCGCGTTTCGCGTCATGCAGTCATTGCATCGTTTGAAGAATCCACCTCTTGGTACAAAATCTGAGGTTTGCCTTTTTAACTTGGAATGCTACATTGGAACGAAACGATGATTAGTAGTCCATAAGTTTGAGGAGAAAGATAATTAATGTGTCGTACTGTAAATTCTTTCTTCTCTTCCGTCTCCCGTGATTACACATCAAGCACTTGTCCCGATAAATGTACTCTTCGATTTCTGTTGGCTTCAAAATGTGCCTATAAAGAGTAAGCAGTGAAAGGAAAAAGTGAAGTCCTTCCTTCACTGTCAATAAATCCATCCTTTTGCTTACACGATTGCCGGTTTTCTTACCTAATGACCAGCAGTATTTGCCGGGTTACCCGCGATGACATCTAAGCTCAACTTAGTTATTTATTGTATCTAAAGATATGAACATATGAGTGGTAGGTTATCTGTACTATTTTATCAGTACACATCATCATATCACATTCATTCCATTAAAATTCATACAATTGAATGAACGGCCGTTACTACCAGTTACTGGAAGCAAGGATCTACTAGAATAGTGAGGTATTTCTTTGTAAAAATCCAATCTAACAAGTCGTTTTCAGAAATACAGCGATCACTTCATTGAATCGACACCTCCCAAAGGTTTCGTTTTTTCGCTTATAGCCAACTTTATTCTGATTTAAATATCAATTCGTCATATGTATCCCTTCCAGGTACATCAACAATACTTACTTAGAACAATTAATTATAAGACGATGTTTTAGAAATTTCGAAAAAGTCTGATATACGCTTCAGTCACAGTTCATTATGGTGAAAAAACAATATCAGTCTGGCAGACAGATGATAACGCTGGACTGCGTAATGGGTTATGAGGGAGCGGGTATGGCAAGGTTTTACTTTTCATGCGGTCGCATTTCGGTAACAGCGAAGTATTCTTGATCAAAATAACATTAATATAGAGGCTTGTCAAATATAGCCTGGAAAGGTTCATCAAATATAGCTACCATATGGTAACAATGAACCTGATAAATACTGGTTATAAACAAGTTGAGAACATGACTTCGTTCATTTCTTGTGGATTGATTTCAATTACTCTAACATAAACAAAGTTGTTTGAGCAAATACCTAACTTAGTCATTGTTGATTCTAAGTCTTATCGAGGAAAACAGATATCTACAATGTCGTAGGTAAGAAGCTATGAGCCTGCGAACGTCTAGAAAATCCGATTCCCTATTTATAACTTCCTGCGAAAATAATACGTTATTCGCGTCCTGTCTTTTCTTTATCTTCCTTTTTGTTGGGTTTGGACAAAGCCAATTCAAGATTATCAAGCAATTTGACACAGCTTATCCAAGCATGGTACCAATCTGATATTTGCTAGAAGGCTGTTCTGTCAGCTATGAGAAGAGGCTGTCTATAATATGCAGATTTTCGGAAACACTATAGATTCTGCCCGATTCTTCCATATCACTATTTAAGTATATACTCAACCGCTCTCAGCTTTTTGTTTCTATTGCATTAATCGATTCTTTTTACAACCTGTATGATTAGATCTTTGAGAAAGTAAGTTCTGAATTTCGTCATGTAATTAACAGAACAGAGAAGTGAAGTCTTTCTCCACGATTTAATGGAGTATATGACGTTTAGAAAAGGTAGCAGTGGTATACAGGTTAACACTGTGCTAAATATCACCGTATCAATAATTTTGTTTGTAAATTACTTGGTAAAACATGACCCTTTTCTGCATATTTTATGACGCTCCGTTTGTTTACTGCAGAGTTCATCATGAAGAACTTCAACAAATTTTAAAATAACTCCACACTCTTTTTACCAAATAGGGATCATTTAATATTTCCCGTTAATCTCATTTTCCCTTCTCTTATTTTTTGGTTGTGACACAAAGGATGAAATTAAGGAATTAAAAAGTTTTTAAATTACAAAAGTTTACGGCTAACAATTTGAGCGAGAAATTTCCCTGCATTCCCAGCATCCTGCATTAGTGATGCTTTTTGTTTTTTGATATTATTAGTTAGAAGAAATTATTTACAAAGACATTACTTTTTCTCCAACATTAAGAACTATCAAAACCTGCTCAGTTCTTCTAAGGTGATTGCAAATAGTTCTCAATAACTTTAATCTAACTGAGCACGTTTTCCATGTAGTTTGTTTATATTAAAGTGCTAAAAAGGAAAAATATCAAGGCAAATTGCGCAAGGCCAATTTCTAACCATGTGTTTGTATTTTGTAGTCTTATGTCATATAGAGCGATATTATCTGCGAAATTTGGCTTGAGGTTACAAAGGAGTAATTTGCATTCAAAGGAGTAATTTGATAGCATACATTTCATAAGAAACCTTCAAGAATCCGGACGTGAGCATTACTGAAAATACAACAGATTATTTGATAACGTTAATGTTTGATCTAAGTAACTCTGAAGTGTAAGTATTAAGCTGACTACTAAAAACAATCAAAGATGTTATGGTCAGTACGAAAAACCAAACATCTTAAAAATGCTGCTTGTAGAGGAGGAATTGACGATCAAAAATGGGTCACCTCCTAACGGATGAAATGTTGAAATTGCAAAAACTGTTGAACATGACATGAAGTAGCGATAATCATCAAGGGAAGGTAAAACTTTAGCTGTTTTTGTCGGACTGAATAAAATCGGCTACCATGCAATACTGAAAGTTCCAAGGGATATGGACTGTTTATGAAGAGGAGGTGTTTGAAGGTTTAAGGACTTTTTTTGGCTGTTGGTTGAAAACCAAATTGTGATAGTAGACGGATGCGTTATAATTGATATGGAAGAAGTGATATGAGGTTAGTAAGCTTATACGCTTTTCGAAGGAGGAAGTGTAGAAGAAGTTCGAATAGTAGATCGATCAAGAACTCGAAGCCTAACTAATCAGGGAAGCTGGAACGGTGACAATACATATCGTAAAATTTTGAGAGCTATTGGCTGATTAAAGTGGACGGAAAATCTTTGCTTGATACTCTCATAAAAGTTTGTGTAATACATAGTAATTTGGCTCATTGGAATCAAGATTGTCTGATGAATAAGTTTATGCGTTTCCTATCAGACAGTGATCAGATAGTAATTTTGCATCGAAGGTAAATGAGTGTTGGGGCAGTAATATAATTTTTGAAAAAGTGTACCCTCTTGTCCAAACAGAAAGAGCAATTTGTTGGTATTTTAGAGCTCTGTTAAAATGATCCTGTATAGTTCCATAAATTGAAGGTATATGAAAAAATTAAACATGGACTTTCAGTTCTGTTCTTCTTTGATGTTTGATTCTTCGTTATTCATTTCATTTTTAATGTCAGTCTGACTTCACTTCTCTCCATCCGCTACATTTCAATATTTGAAAGCCATTCAATACAAAGGAGCAGAATGAAATAAGTTATATTCAGTGCTTAATTGGAATTTCTGTTCTCTCCACATCCTCGAGAATAAGACTTACTTCCCTTCCATGAATATTTATCTCTCGTTTGCCACTAACATACTATTAACATAGCATCAGCTGAACATGTAAAAATAGCTTTATGAATACTTTTGCATTTTCAGTGAGGGTTTCGGAGATAAACAAGACCATCCCGTCCTTCAGATAGATCACTCCCCATTTTTTACACAATTATTTGTGATTATGGCGTGATGGTAATGACGATTTTCTTTAATGATAATGACGATTTTTTTTACGCTCAGGTCATTCACCATACTCCGGTTCGAAAAGCATAAAAGACAAGGAGTTAAATAGAACACCAAGTTAATAAATTTCTTTAAAATTATTAGGTTAGTGTAGCATTAGTGCGCCAATTTGCGAATTCCAATAAGTGACTGCTTTTAGGTCCTGGTGAAGCGCATTTACTGGAATTCCACCTGAAAAATAGTGCCAGCATGGAGTGAAATCCATGTTCTGCTATTTTCGAGAGCTGAGAGACCGCATTATCTCTGGAAAACATAAAACTGTTTTCAGGTCGTATTCAAAAATACCTGTGAATAAGAACTCATGGAATCGTGACCCTTTTTCATTTATCTGAGGCGGTGATTCCCGCATCTATCAAAAGCCAATTGAAAAAGNGAAATACTCTTACAGTTGTCAGACATTTTGTTAGCACTGTACGTCTTTTCTGCAAGTTGAAGCTAAAGCATAAAATTGCCAAAACCGAATTACTGCAGCATGTTACACAAAATCAAATGCTCGTTGAAAAAGTTT